GGCCCGGCCCGGCCGCCCAAGCAGGCCGCGCGCGGGCCGCCGGGCCCGAGGCCGGAGCCATGGGCGAGACCAAGATCATCTACCACCTGGACGGGCAGGAGACGCCGTACCTGGTGAAGCTGCCCCTGCCCGCCGAGCGCGTCACCTTGGCGGACTTTAAGGGCGTTCTGCAGCGACCCAGCTATAAGTTCTTCTTCAAGTCTATGGACGACGATTTCGGGTGAGGATGGCCCCCGCCTCGCCTCTGGGGGACCCCAGCCCCTCCGGCTTCTGGGAGCCACTCGGCCAGTTTGGACTCCCCTTTGCTACAGTGGCTCCTAGCCCTGCTCTGGATTCTAAGGGGCGACCCGGCTATTTGGGCCCCCTTGGCTTTTTCAGAGGCTGGAGTTCAGCCCCTCGAGGGACTCTCGTTTCCCCTCTTTCGGGGGACCTTGGTCTCCCTAGTTTAGGGGGACGTTCAACTCCCCCAAAGCAATCAGAATTTCAGCCCAGTCAAGTCCCCTCACCTCCTCAGAGACCAGCGGCCCACATAGACAGACACACCCCCCCTCCACCCAGTTCCAGAGCCAGAATCCCCAACCCTCCTCCTGCCAAGGGAGCCACCTTTGTAGCATAGACTTGGGGTGTTGGGCACTCGGCCTTCGCCTGCTCCATCTTTTCGGCTCCACAACTCAGAGCCATATTTGGAGTATCATGCATCTAAGGGCTATGGTGCAGGACTTTGAACTGGAGAAGGGGGTGAGATGGAGGGTGCTTATGCGCCAGGCTGTAAGCTAAGGCCTGCAGACCTGATGTTTATTTAGCTGTCTCCCCTCTCTCTCTTGGGGTGTTCAGGATGTTATCAAGGGAGCAGAGCGCTGGCCCCTGGGAGGAGTCCTCACTAGCCCAGGTGCTGATTTTCCCTCCGAATTGGGGCCTTTTTCCTCCAGATGGTGGCCGAGGAGGAGACCTTGGAAAGGGCCTCAGAGCCTGGATGGGAGGGCCAGGAAGAGTCTCTTAGTGTTCTTCATCTTCTCCTCCCTGGCGGGGTCTTCTCCACCCAGCTGCAGGGCTTTGGACAGGCGGAGTTTGGAAGCAGCGACTTCCCCTTTAAGAGGGGATGGAATGTTGGAGCCGGAAGGTTCTGTAGCAGCTGGCCTAGGAGGGGGAGCCTGGCCAATCCCCTCACCACCCCCCCAACTCCCAGGAGACTGGGGGAGGGGGAGGCCCCCACACTAGTCTGCCCCACACTAACTGGGCACTGGGCCTGGAGGCCTGTGGGGAAGGCCCTCCTGGGCCCTCCAGGCCTAAAAGCTGCTGCTCCAGCCCTAGCTTGAGGCCTGCACTGCTCTTGGGAGCTGAGGCCCCAGAGCTGAGTGAGGGGGGACATTCTTCTCCCCAGTGTTCATCAGTGTGGCTTCTCTCCCAGGACCCCGGCCCTCCTGCCCTGGGAAGCAAAGCAAGCACCTTCTCTCTCTTTTGCCTGGCATGTTTTGCTGTCACCTTTCCCCCTGGAACTCAGAGTTCCATGAGCCCATGAGATCATAAGTGCTTTATATAGTGGGAAGTGCTGTGCAGCTTCTAACTCCTGTTTCTGTTGTTGTTGTTCCTGCCCTGGGGTGGGGTACTCCTGGTGTAGTAATGATTATCTCGCTTCAGTCCAGAGAAGGACACCCCTGATTGGAAGATTCTGAAGAGGGATCGATCTGCTGGGGGTGGGAGTGAGGGGGCAGATGCCTTGGCCTGGTAAGAGAATAGAGTCAGAAGAGACCAAGATACTGCCTCAGGGTATGAGATAGGGGGAAATCAGCTAGAGTCTACTGTAGTAGGGGGCCACCCTGGGGCCAGATGCCTTGAGGGACTAGGATAGGTCTGTGTCTCCAACCGCCTCTCATCCCTGAGCCCCACTCATCCCTGAGCCCACTGGGCCTACCCCACCTCCTGAGCCTAGACCTCTCTGGGCTGCCTCCCACTCTCCCCAGGCTGCTGTCAAGCCAGGCCTAACTGCAGTCCTAGGAGGGCCCCCATTACATCCACTCACTGCTGACTTAATATTGTTCTTTAAATCCACTGTCAGTCCACTCACTCTTTCTTAGCTTGACCCAATCAATAATATGAAATCACAGGTCCGATTTTTTATCTAAAATATGTGAAAAATAAATACTTAACTATTGAATTAAACGTTCATTCAGGTACATGCGAAGCCATCTTGCATACCTCAGTGGTACTTGAACCATCCTTTGCAAAATATTAGAGGAAACCAAAAAATTAGAGCCAATTTAACAGGGTTGAGAACAATGCTAAAAATGAAGTGGAGGAAGTTGATTTTGTTTTTATCCCCAGAAAGATTAATGAGCAGGAGAGCTGGTAGGGCTGTCTTGTCACAGAGGAGTAATAGCTGAGGAGCATGTATATATCTATATCTCACTTACTTAACAAACTCTTTCTATGTGCTTACAGTGTGCAGGCACTGATCTAAATGCTTTTCAAATCTTTACTCATTCAATCCTTTTAACAGCCCTGTGAAATAGGTGTAATATCTCCAGTTTATAGATGAGGCGACTAGAGCACAGAAAACTTAAGTAACTTACCCAAGGTCACACAGCTAGTAAGTGGCAGAACTTGATTCAACATCAGGAATCTGCCTCCACAGTGTAGGGCCTTAATCACACAGTTGTAAGTATTATTATTATCACCATTTAACAGATACATCCTCTCTGAGGGAGATGCTGAGCCTTGGCAAACTGTAGAGGTGATAGGGCTGCCACTTATCCTAGCCCCATGAGAGGAGGGTCAGGGCAGAGGTCAGGGACCCCTGCTGACAGATGGGAAAGTAGGTCAGAGGAGGAAGGCTGCTTTCATTCAGTCTCTCCAGGCTCACCCTCTGAGGTTCTGGTTTGTAAGGCCCAAGGACTCCCCAACTCCCATCTGGTCTCCAGAAGTATTTGTCAAGCTCAGGGTAGGCACAGCCTTCTTAAGTCATTTGAGAAATGGAAGAAGAATAAACATTTTCAGCACTGAGGAGATGGTGGGGGGAAGAACAAGGTACCCACTGCTGGCGTGTCCTTGAGCTGTGGGAGGGAGCAACATGGGACTTTGGGCCACTCACTGTGTTGCTCCCTGCCCCGTGTCATACCTGTCTCAGGCCTCCTACCTGGAGCACTCTTCTTCTCTTCTCTTGTCTGGTCCAAATTCTCCTGTCCTCTGGGTTGAGCTTTTAAAGTTACCACACTTTATTCTGTTTATCCTAACACCTACCTGGCTCCTAGCCAGGACCTGACACCTAAGTAATCAGCAGATGTCTGTCGAGGGAACACGTCTGCTGCTCTTACGGCTCTGACCACTTCCTGCTTGTGTTATACTTAGTGAACTGTCCATTGGACCGTAACCCCCGAGGATAAGGCAGGCTCCAGGTCTGATGCTTCTTGAGGTCCATAGCATCGCAAGCACAGGACTTAAAAGCCACTGGGCTCTCAGCAAAGGCCTTTTAATTGAATGAATGATGAACGACGAGCAGATTTGTTTGGTCGCTGCCCTTAGAAACTTACACCTCATTAGACAGAGTATGGATCCCGCTAAAATTTGACAAAGTTAGTAACTATTTTTATTGTATGACTGGACCATGCTAGCCATTTACAAATCCCATTTACCAGGATGAGAGACAAAGGCTTGGAATAGTTAAGAAACTTCTCTAAGGGCCGGCCCTGTGGCTTGGTGGTTAAGTGCGCGCGCTGCGATGCTGGTGGCCCGGGTTCGGATCCCGGGTGCGCATCGAGGCACCACTTCTCCGTTCATCCTGAGGCCGAGTCCCACATACAGCAACTAGAAGGATGTGCAGCTACGACACACAACTATCCACTGGGGCTTTGGGGGGAAAAATAAAATAAATAAAATCTTTAAAAAAAAAAAAAAAAGAAACTTCTCTAAGACAGGAGGGCTAATAAGTGGCAGTATTGGATTGAACCCAGATTTGTCCGACTCCACTTGGGGTGTGAGTGTGTGAGAGCTATGGAACCCTGAGCCACTCAGCTCCACAGTGGGAGGGAAAGGCCTGTCTGAGGTCCCCCAAGGCTGCTGAGGATCAGCTGATCCTTGTGAGTCAGCAGAGCCTTGGCGACCCGTCAGTGACCCCCAGAAAGAAAGGAAACATCTGTAGTGTGGAGCTGTGTGTTGGGGCCGCTGGGGGATGGGGAGTGGGGCCTCGGCAGCAGTTTCCCACCACAGAGAGACCCTCTCCAAAGCAGGTCATAGCTCCTGCCGTGTGGTCCACAAACCCCTGTTCCCAGAGGGGGCTGCAAGCTAGGTGTGCCCTGTGAACAGACTGGCTGGTGGGTCCGAGCTACGTCTCTGTCCCTCCTTTCCAGCCTGTTCTGTCTCCAGGCTTTCTGCCATGGTGGCCTGAGCAGGATGATTTGAGCTGCTTTCTTGGGGTCGCTGTGGGGTTGGAAATGGTGGAGGAGCCAGAGCTTGATGGGAGGGAGGAGGGCAGGCTCGGCCTTCGAACTTGGCTGTGAGTCCAAGAATGTGAACATCACAAGGAGCCAAGCACGTTCCGGGCTCTGGGCAGAAGCTGCTCCAAGAACAAGGGAGGACTGGGCTTCCCAGCCGCCTTCCCTGCTATCTTCCTGCTCTGCTCATGTGTCTTCCTCTGCCCCTAATCCTGTCTTTCCAGCTCTGTACTCCTGGGGTGTTTGATGGAGTCTGGGTTCCCCAAACTTTTCCATTCCCTTCCCTGGCCCCAAACTGTAGTCATTGTCTGACTTCTTGCCTCACTGCATACCTCAGGCCAAACTACATGCCTGTGACCACATCCTACCCCCCATGCCCACATCACTGTCTCCCCACCCCCACCCTCCACACAGACCGCATCCCCTCTGTCATCTGTGAAAGGCTGTGGAAAGAGGATGGGTTTTGGAATCAGACGAGCCTAGGGTTGAATTCCAGCTGACATCTTCTAGCTCTGTGACCTTGGACAAGTTACTGTTTCCTTATTCATAAAATGAGGGTCATATTATCTACACAATGAGGCTGATGTGAAGATTATATATTATAACTATAGGGAGATAAGATGGCATGATAGGTAAGAATAAAGGCTTTGAAGACAGGCTGATCAGGATTCAAATTCCGGCTCTTCACTTATTAGTGGTGTGACTATAGGTGAATTTCTGAACCTAATGAGCCTTAATTTCTCCATCTGTACCTGTCTTATAGCATTGCTATGAGTATTAAATGAAATTATACAAGTAAAGTGCTTAGCTTCCTGCTTGGTCCATAGTTCACGCTCAATAAAGGAGAGCAATTGTTACTATGATCCTACTTGCAGTGTAGGATGTTCAGTCAATACCTTCTTCCCTTCTCTTTCCTAATTTCCTTAAATTCTTCATCCACACCTCCCAGAGGAATCTCAGGATTCTCAATTGAGAAGGGAAAGACAGTAATAAGGGTGTGCTTCTTCCTAGTTTGGGGTCAGAGGGAAAGAAAAAGTCTAGCCTAGGAGAGCCATGCTGGGGCTGGGTAATGCACTCTCGAGATTCTAGAGAGTGGCTGCACTCGTGGGGGACACTGTTCTCTCAGGTGTAATTTGCAATCACCTGATGACTGAGAGGATGCCCAGGAAAGCAGCTGATGTAGGCAGGGCTGGTCTCTAGCCTGGTGGTGCTAAAGAGCTATCCCTGGCTCACCCCTACCTGCTCGCATTTGAACAGGCTTGTGCTGGTGGTTTGCCAGTTTAGGGTGGAAGAGCCCCTGAGAATTGGGATTCTGAGGACACCTCCATTTCCACCCCAGAAGGCTTACTCTGACACCCCCCTTTCCCTGCAGAGTGGTGAAGGAAGAGATCTCGGATGACAATGCCAAGCTGCCCTGCTTCAATGGCCGGGTGGTGTCCTGGGTAAGGAGCCCTCCTCGGCCCTCCCTCCACCTGCATTCCTGCAGTAGGCTGGACGGAGGAAAGGCATCACTGAGATTGTAGCTGGTGGTTTTATGCTTCAATGTCTGAATCTTCCTTGAGTTTTCTGACTCTACTGCTTCTTACCCCAGATTCTGTAGCCTTGGTAAAAAGTGGTGGAGTGGTGGGAAGGGGGAAAAGGCAGACACAAAGCCACACGCTGAAGATAAAATTGTCTCCTATGCCCTTTGAGGCACTCTGCCTCAGGTTCCCTTCTGTCACCTGCCGACCTCTGCCTTGGACCACTGACCCTTGTTCTCGGCCCCCATCCCACTTCATCAGCCCATGCCTCCCAGCCTCCCCATCAACCCAGCAGTGGGTCCATACCTCATCTCAGCTGCCCTTGCACAGTCCCATCTCCCTCGGTGTCCCCTACTTTGTTCTCCCCAAGCCTTCATGCTCTACCAGAAGCCAGCTCTCCTCCTTCTCCCTAGTGCTCCTGATCCATACTACCCACCCATTTTCTCCCCATCAGCTGGTGTCAGCTGAGGGCTCGCACCCAGAGCCAGCTCCCTTCTGTGCTGACAACCCATCAGAGCTGCCACCGCCCATGGAGCGCACAGGAGGCATTGGGGACTCCCGGCCCCCATCCTTCCAGTGAGTGTGACCTGAAGGTGGGGAGGGCCCATGGGGGAGGGCCATGTCAGTTCAGCCCAGGGCTGGGGGAGGGAGCCCCCAGCCTGCCCCCTCCCCCACCAAGTCCTCTTTTCCCTGCAGCCCTCATGCTGGTGGGGGCAGCCAGGAGAACCTGGACAATGACACAGAGACGGACTCCTTGGTGTCTGCCCAGAGGGAGCGGCCACGCCGGAGGGATGGCCCAGAGCACAGTGCGTCTTCCCTGAATAGATGCCTTCCCCATCCCCACGCCCTCCCCACAGTTTCCACTCAGCTGCCCGCCTCTTTGCCCTACTTCTTGAGCTCTGGATATGCCTGGCCTCAATGCAGCCCCTGGCCCATCTCTCCCTCCTCCCTTCCCTACTGCATCGGGCACCGTGAGTGCAGCTGCCTCTACCCCCTGCAGCAGCCCGGCTCAATGGAACTGCCAAGGGGGAGCGGCGGCGAGAGCCAGGGGGCTATGATAGCTCGTCCACCCTTATGAGCAGTGAGTTGGAGACCACCAGCTTCTTTGACTCGGATGAAGATGACTCCACCAGCAGGTGGGGCTTTAGTTTCATGGGCACTATGGGGCAGGTGACCCCTGGGGAGCCCTGAGCCATGAGGATGCTGGGTCCCTAGGCAGGATATGGGCTTTGTGTTGGGGACCTGGGCCCTGCAGTGCCTCTTATGGGGCAGGGCTGGGCCAGCCTGGTGGGGAACGACTGTGGGCCCCACAGGTTCAGCAGCTCCACAGAGCAGAGCAGCGCCTCACGCCTGATGAGAAGACACAAGCGGCGGCGGCGGAAGCAGAAAGTTTCACGGATTGAGCGGGTATGGGGCCTGGGATGAGTGGGGGCAGACTGAGCCCTGCCCCAGCAGGGCCAGGGTTTGTGCTTCCTTAGATCCCCCTACTTGGGTCAGTGTTTATAGAACCTGGGGAGGAGGATTGGAGCTGAGGGCTCACCCTGAGGAGGAGCTAGGTGGAAGCAGTGAGTTCCTGCCACCCGTACCTGCTGCTTAGGGCCTCTATCTGTTCCAGTCCTCGTCCTTCAGCAGCATCACGGACTCCACCATGTCACTCAACATCATCACGGTCACTCTCAACATGGGTGAGTCTGGTGAAACAACACTCTTGAGCTCCTACTATATGCCAGACACTGGGCAGACTTGAGAAGTTCGGAGAGGCACAAGATATGTTCCCTGCCCTCAAGGAGCTCACTTTCATAAATGTGAACTGGTACATAAACAGATCATCTCAGTGCTATGACAGAGAAGCACAGAGAGCTGTGGAATCAAGAATGGCATCAGGGAAGGCTTCCTGGAGGAAGTGATTTCTGATTCCTCCCCCATTCCCATTTTTCAGCCATTGCAGTCTTACTCTCTGGTTTCTGCCATAGCTATTCTCTTTAGGAGATAGCTGGATGTAGTGAAAAGAGCCCCAACTTTGGAATTTAAATCTGAGTTTGAATCCTGGCTTTGCCACTTAACGGCTTAGAAAAGTTACTTACATTCTCTAAACCTCAACTGCCTGCTCTGTAAAATGGGACTAAGAGTCCCTGCCTCACAGCCAACAAGGATGCAATGAAAGCATGTTTGAGTATCTGAACATAGTGCCTGCTTCAGGGTCAATAGATGTTAGTTCTCATCCCTTTCCACCTTTTTCTAATAAGGGGCTCAGAATTGGGGTAGGAACCTTGCTCCCCTCTCAAGATATTCTTACTCCCTGTAGAAAAGTATAACTTCTTGGGCATCTCCATTGTGGGCCAAAGCAACGAGCGTGGGGACGGAGGCATCTACATTGGCTCTATCATGAAGGGTGGGGCCGTGGCTGCTGATGGACGCATCGAGCCAGGAGATATGCTGTTACAGGTACCATTGCCCACTCTGGGTGGTGGTGTGGATAGGGAGTGGGGAGATGTCCCTATCCTCTGTACTCTGCTCATTCAGAGGCCCCTTCTTCATGCGGGGAAGACCCCCGGACCCACCAAGCTCAGCTTCCCTACCCCCATCTCCAACACAACTGCTTATCCCACTCCTGGTCCTCTTTCCCAGGTAAACGAGATCAACTTTGAGAACATGAGTAATGACGACGCGGTCCGGGTACTGCGGGAGATTGTGCACAAACCGGGGTATGGAGGGGATGGAGTATCGGAGAGGAGGGGCAAGGATTTCTGGCTGTCAGGCGGAGGGCTTGGTCTGGTGCCCACATATCCTGCCCTCACTAGGGACACCCTTGTTTTCAGGCCCATCACCCTGACTGTAGCCAAGTGCTGGGACCCAAGTCCACGTGGTTGCTTCACACTGCCCAGGAGTAAGTGGACGGGTGACTCAGCCTTAAAGCTGGTGCTTGGCATATGTGAGCCCTGTCTCTCCTTCCTTCTGTGTTGCCCTGAATCCCCACACCTACCCTGTTGGGCCCAGAAGTGGGCAGGGTGGGCAGCCCCTGACTCCTCATCCTCCCTGCAGGCGAGCCCATCCGGCCCATTGACCCTGCGGCCTGGGTCTCCCACACTGCAGCCATGACTGGCACCTTCCCTGCCTACGGCATGAGCCCCTCCCTGAGCACCATCACCTCCACCAGCTCCTCCATCACCAGCTCCATCCCTGACACAGAGCGTGAGTGTCCAAACCTGTCCCCTGGGCCCAGCAGACAGGGCCAGGTGGGAGAGACTGATGAAGGCCCACCTGGAGACTCTTGCTTGAGCGTCAGAGGGGGCTGGAGAGGGGACTCAGCTCATTCCAGCTACCTCACACTGCAGCTTCCCTCAGTGGACACCAACCCTCACTAAACAGTGTTTGCTTCTGAACCTGTATTGAGTTCCCAGCAGGCCTCAGTTTCCTCTTGTAAAATGGGACTAATGATATGTACTTTACCAGGTTCCTGGGGTTTAATGAGAGGATATACGTGAAGCATCAGTCACAGTGTGTGGCATAAAGTAAGCACTCAATAAATGACTGCCATTTTTATTATCATAACACGTTATACACGGTGCCATAAGCACTTTCATTTACATTATTTAATTCTCTCTTCAAACATCCTTGTAAAATAGATATTAAAGTCCCTGTTTTTATGGAAGGGGAAACTGAGTGTCCAAGAAGTCAGTAATTTGCCCAACATTGATCCATAGTTGTTAGATGGTAGAGCTGGAATGCAAACTCCTGTCTACCTAACTCCATGGCCCCTTTCTGCTCACCATTCTGCCTCTCACCCCCAGGCCTAGATGACTTCCACCTGTCCATCCACAGTGACATGGCTGCCATCGTAAAAGCCATGGCCTCCCCTGAATCTGGGCTGGAGGTCCGTGACCGCATGTGGCTCAAGATTACCATCCCCAATGCTTTCATCGGTGAGAGGGCCCCATGGTGGGATGAAGGACAGGGGTGGGGAGTGATGAGGTAGGGTAGGCCAGGGGCCCAAGAACTCCCATGGGCCACTCCTTTGAGCTGAAACCAGCCCCAGCCTTGTGACTTCTGTGAGGCCAGATGAGCCCAAGGCAGGTAGGCCTCCCAGTCAAGTGGCGGCCTTGCCCCCAGGCTCGGATGTAGTGGACTGGCTGTACCACAACGTGGAAGGCTTCACTGACCGGAGGGAGGCCCGCAAGTATGCCAGCAACCTGCTGAAAGCCGGCTTCATCCGCCACACTGTCAACAAGATCACCTTCTCCGAGCAGTGCTACTACATCTTCGGCGACCTCTGTGGCAGTACGTGCCTCCCCTACCTCCCGCCCTATCTCCTGGCTGGGAGTGGGGAGGCGCCCAGGGATGTGGTAGACTCCAGGGAACCCAGATGAGGGGACAGCAGAGCTGGGGGCCAGCTCAAGTCCTGAGAGTTCTGTAGTGGAAGCAGAGCCCAGTCCAGCCTCTTCACCTGCCCCACATTCCCTTCTTGGGGCTGGCATTTTCTAAATGCCCGCTTTGTGCCTGGCACCATGCTAGTTATTTCTGAAGCAATGTCTCACTCTCTCACTCAGTCCTTACAACCTCCTCCCCACCCTCAGGGAGACCAATTAACATCCTTGTTTTCAGATGAGGAAACTGAGACTTGTAGAAGTTAAACAGTTCACCCCTGGTCTCACAGCTAAAAGCAGAGGAGCTAGGCCTTGGGTCCAGGTCTTTCTGGCTCCAGAGCCCTTGTTCTTCACACCATCTGGGGCTGCCCTAGGTGTGTGGTGCTGCAGAAACATTGTCTCAGCAAGGCCAAACAGAGTTCCTACTCTTGGCCCCTGCTCAGCCTTCCAGCACCAAGCAGGTTCCACTAGGGCAGGACCAGGGGCTGGCCTGAGGCCCCAAGTCCACAGCCTCCTCAGACCCCTGAGAGTGGGCTGTGCCACAGGATAAAGTTGGAGAAGCTGTCGGGGCCAGGTGGTAGAGGACTCTGCAAGCTGAACTGAGGAGTTTGGACTTGATCCTGAGACAGTGCAAAGCCAATGAGGGTTATTAAGCAGGAGAGGTCTGCAGAGAACCCTCCTTCTCCTTCTGAGCCTCTGGACAACCCTTGGGAATGGGAGTCCTCAAGACAGGACAGCATTGCTCAGGGCTGGGAGCTGAAGCCCACGCCCAGCAGCCACCTCTGCCTGAGGGAGCCTTCTCTGGGCCCAGTGGTGCTGGCTGGAGTCCAAAAGCTAACTCTTAACATGCTTCAGATTAGGTTCTAGGGACTAGAAAGGCTGTTTCTGCAGAGCACAAGTCCCTGGTGGAGAGTGGGTCCCTGGCCCTCAGCAGCTCCAGTGTGGCCCCACGGAGTAGTGATAGATGCATAGGGTTTTGGAGTTAGACAGTCGGAGTTCAAATCCTAGCTCCACCCTTACCGTGTGAACATGAGTAAGTGACACAGCTTCTCACTGCCTCAGTTTCTTCGTCTGCAAGATGGAGTTAATAATAGAACTTATCTCATAGAGCTATTTTGTGAACGATATAAGACAATGTATATAATGTTTTTAGCATCATGTTTTGCCCATAGTAAGTGCTCTATAAAAGTTGTCTATTATACATATATTTAATTGGTTCTAAGATGAACATGTTTTTCACAGTTCAATATCTCTGAAACTGGGGTGCATCTTAGAATCAATGGCTTCTCAGACTCAATCAAATGTAGTTATTATCATTATTAGAAGTCAGCCCTGGCCCCAAACCTCCAGGGACACATAAAGCTTCTCAGGGCAGCTGTGGCTTTTGCTCAAGAGACATTGTTCCTTCCCTAAGGCCTCTAGGGTCTTGTACCCATGGACCAAGGCCACCAGAGGCCCAGCTCAGGGAGATGCTGACAGAACAGGCCTTTTCCTTCTCACTGGCTGAGGTCTCCTCAGCTGGGAGTACGGCAGGCTCAAAGGGAAAAGCTGGGGACCTGGCTAGCCCCAGGAGCACACAGTCACTCATCTCGGGATCACAGCCTGGAGGCTGAAGTAGTCACCAGCTCTTTGGGCATAAGCCAAGGCAAGCCCCTGCTTCCTATCCCCTCTCCCCCCGTGCTAGCTGCTGGCCTTGACAGGTTGATGGCTTGGCTGGCAAACTCCACAGGCTGCCTTAGCCCCCTCAGAGCCCCCTCTCCTGACCTCTTTTCCCCTGGAAGGTTGGGCTGGGTCACTTAAGGGCTTGGAAGAAAGGGCTCAGTCTGTATCCAGCAGCTGTCCCCCAGGGCAATTACAGGTCTCCCAGAGCTCTGGGACCTGGCACAGATGGGGTGTGAGCAAGGGGTGTCCCAGGCAGGTAGTCAGTTCTAGTGGTCCTTTATACTCCGTTCCAGGTAGTTCCAGCATTGGTGGGGCCAGCCTTGCCCTTGCACAGTTTACTGAGGGAGCCAGAGTCATGAAAGAAGTAATGTTAACACAGTGAGACAAGTGCTGTGAAGAACCAGGCCTGGCTGGGAATGGGTGCAGAGCACAGAGGAGGCACCTAAGTTGCTCTCTTTCTTGGCCCTTCCCACCCTCCCCAGCAGCACCAGAAAATGGATCCAGGCCAAGGGCCTTCTATATGGGGAGGCTCTGAAAGGCCTGATGTTCATTCTGGTTTTTAATGGGTATTTTTTCAGTCCTAGGTGAAGGGGGAGGGCAAAATTTCACCTAAATTTCCCCAAACTGCTCCCTACTCCTTACTAATGACCTCACCTGGAAAGGTAAGGAGAAAGTAAGTGACGCTCGGCTTCTGCTCTGGCGACAGTTTGGCTTGATCCCGGGCTGGTCATTTAACCTCTCTGGACTGCACTTTCCTCATCTGGAAAACATGTGACTAATACCTTCTTCATAGGCTTGTGGTAACATTTGCATGAGACGAAGTGCTTTGTATTGTGCCTAATGAATTGCAGGTATGCCATACCTGGTGGCTGGCTGGCATTTCAGCCTTGCACATTCCCCTACTTCTTACCCTCTAAGTGAACAGTGGAGAAAACTGCCAAATAAAAGAGTTTTGCCCCTTCTTCCAGTTCACTGAAGAAGGAGGAGAAACTGCCAAAGGCTTGGTAGGGGGTCTTCACAGGAGTGGCAGTTGGATGCCAGGATCTGGCACTGAGGATCTGCAGTGTAACTCAGGGCCTTCCTGAGGAGAGTTTTCCCTGGGGCCATCTCTGCAGGGTTTCCCTCCCCACCATCTCTGGTGGGCGGCAGAGGGGGCTGAAGGAGTGCGAGATCTCTGGCCTGTGCCTCCTCCCATTCTGGCGAGAAACTACCGCAGCTGTTGGTGTCATCCCAAAGGCCCCCACCCAACCTAGGCTGGCGACCTCTCTCTCCTGAACTAGGGGTGCAGGGGCACGAGATAGACCCAGCTCATCCGGCCCTCCCCTAATCCCCCTCCTCCCCACAGACATGGCCAACCTGTCCCTCCATGATCACGACGGCTCCAGCGGCGCCTCTGACCAGGACACGCTGGCCCCTTTGCCTCACCCGGGGGCCGCCCCTTGGCCCATGGCTTTCCCTTACCAGTACCCGCCACCCCCGCACCCCTACAACCCGCACCCAGGCTTCCCGGAGCTGGGGTACAGCTATGGCGGGGGCAGCGCCAGCAGCCAGCACAGTGAAGGTAAGGGGAGGGGCCCGTGCGGGGTGCTCCAGGCGAGCCCCGGGCTTCCTCCGCAAGCTCTCAGCGTCCCCCACCCCGTCCCTGCCTGTTCCCTACAGGCAGCCGGAGCAGCGGCTCCAACCGCAGTGGCAGCGACCGGCGGAAGGAGAAGGACCCGAAGACCGGGGACTCGAAGTCGGGCGGCAGCGGCAGCGAGTCGGACCACACGACGCGCAGCAGCCTGCGGGGACCGCGGGAGCGGGCGCCCAGCGAGCGCTCGGGCCCCGCCGCCAGCGAGCACAGCCACCGCAGCCACCACTCGCTGGCCAGCAGCCTGCGCAGCCACCACACGCACCCGAGCTACGGCCCCCCTGGCGTGCCCCCTCTCTACGGGCCCCCCATGCTGATGATGCCCCCACCGCCTGCAGCCATGGGGCCCCCCGGAGCCCCTCCGGGCCGCGACCTGGCCTCCGTGCCCCCCGAACTGACCGCCAGCAGACAGTCCTTCCGCATGGCCATGGGAAACCCCAGTGAGTTCTTTGTGGATGTGATGTGAGCAGGGCCCCTCCCCCACTCCCAGCCCACCCCCGCCCTGGCCCGCTGCGTCCCTCTCTCCGTCCGTCCGACTTTTTTACTTTGTCTGGTACCTGGAAGGGAAATAAACGGAACTAAATCCAGGCGCGCTAACTGCTCGCTGGGCGCAGCGAGGGCGGGGTGCACCCACCGATCGCCACCGCAGCCCCTAACCTGCCCCCTGCCCCAGCTTGTCCCTCTGCCCACTAACCGCTGCGCGGGACTTCCCAGCGTCTTTCGTGTCCCTGGGAGCCGACTTGCTGGTGCTGCTCCTTACTTCCCTTTCCCCCGCACACACTTCAGGAGTCGACCCAGCGGTGCCCTTGAGGCCCTGCTCACCCCCTTGTCCCCTCCTTCTCCCCCTCAGTTCCCTTCCACCACTCATTCAGCGACATCCTCCCTCTATTAATCCCATCCCCTCGAGCATGTGTGCCAATCTCCTGACTTTTCCACACAATATTGACACCAAAAAAATACTTGCTTCATCTGCCTCTCCTCCTAAGTGTCCCCACCTGCTGCCTCAGTCCTGCAGCCCAGGGCTGGAGTCACCTCCAGTGACCATCCATGCTATCCCTGCCTGCGCTCAGCCCTTACCAAAAGCCCAGGAGGCCCCTCAAGTTGCCTGAGCTGCTAGTGGCTTCCAGAGAGCATCTCTACTCTCCCCTCCCCCCCACCCTGCCGCGCCCCTATGCCTGCCCTGTGTGCTGGTTCCTTCAGACCCCTAACCCTACTAACCAGCAGGCTCATCTCACCTCTGGGCCTGAAACATTTCTTTTCTTTCTTTTTTCCTCTCCTTATTTTTCCCGGGCCTGGAGCAGCCAAGAATTTCGGGCTGTTTGACTTTCTGTGACCCCCCGCGAGGGGAGGCCCTGCCTCCGAGGAGACCAGGACCCCTGCTTCAGGAGCTCCTCAGGGGATATCGGAGGATATTCAGCCCCCACACCCACACTTCAACATGCTGAGTCACTAGGCTTCTGTGAAGGTCCCCACGCTCTCTTGCCCATGTATGGGAGACTCTGTTCCTCTTTCCAGAATATGATCTCTCTCTCTTTCTGTCTTTCACACACGTGCAAGCGTGCATGTACACACACACACACGTGCCTATGCAAGTTTGCTTAAGCCTCAGGGCTGGTCCCTGCCCAGAGGGCTGGACTCTCTCTCCCTGTCCTCTCCCAGGTCGTGGGGCTGGTCCCCTGACATCCCTCTCCCTTCCTTGTAGCCCTCAAGCCTCCCACATGTCTCCATCATCCTCCTACCTGGATAAAGCCCCTAAGCCAGGTCTCAGGCCAGGCTCAGCAGGGGACTCTCCGGCAACTGACGGGCTATTTTCACCCCACACCCTTCCCTATTTTCACAATCACCATGATACCCCAGAGCAATGGTGGGCAAGGGGACTTCTGGAACTTCCAGACGGAATGCCAAATTTTATTTTTTACCTTATTCTCCAATTTAAACAAAACATGACTTTCTCTTTAAGCCTCTTCTATAAATTCACCTGGCTCACCTAGGCTCTCATATTTTCAGGACTGGCTGTCAAGAGTGAGATGAAGTCCTAAACTCCAGGCTTTGGGGCAAACCAGGGTAGGGCATTTTGGCATTCATTCATTTATCAAATACTTCCTGGGGTTTCTGTTGAGTGAGGGCTGTGTTGGAAGTCTAACTCAGTCTTGCCTGCCTTCTGGAAGCTCTGGGTTTGCTGCCGGCCTGGATCATGGCCTCCTCTAGACACTACTAGGGCTGCCTCCTGTACTTCTCTTCCTTCTCTGACTCTACGTTGTCCAACTCTCTTGAGAATTCCTCCACTGTTGCTCATGCCTTCAGTGTCGGTGCTCCCAGTGTTCTATCTTCAGTCCACTTCTCTTTCCTCTCTATTTACTCCCCAAATGGTATCATCCATCCTCAACTGCCACTGATATGCTGGTGATTCCCAAATATATTATCTCCAGCCTCAACTTCCCTCCAACCTTTAGATCTGTATTTTTATCACCCACTGGACAATCCAGGGACATGTCTACATGGATTCAACTCATTTCCCCACCAAGTGTGTTCCTCCTGAATTCCAATCCTGGTTACCTTCACCACACTACATAGGCTCACCAGCTAGAAACATTTATGGGCTTAAACTCCTTCCCACATCTTACCAGTCAGCGTATCATATCCATTCCACTCTAACAATCTTTCTTGAATTTGGCCCTTCTTTTTTCCTCTGCCTCTACTCTAGTTCACAGGAGCATGGGATTTGGAGTCAGGTGGTTCTGGGTTTGAATCCCAGCTCTACTACGTTTTGGTTGTGTGATAGGAGAGTTATTTATCTCTCTGAGCCTCAATTCCCTCATATGTAAAATGACGATAATAATACCTACCTCACAGGGTTGTTGTGAGGATTTAAATTAGATATTGTACGAAAAGTGCCTAGCACAGTGCCTGGCACACAGTAGAATAGGTGCTCAATAAATGGTAGCTATTATTATTATCATTATTATCATCATTATTTACTCTAAATTAGTAAGGGCTTAGGGTATGTATTGAAGATAAAGGGAGGAGTGGAAGGTATTTGGAAAGGTAGGAGTGAAGCCCTGAATGCTGGTTCAAGGATTAGAAGTGCCTGTATTTGGTCACTTAATGGCTTCCCACTGTGAACATGGTTTGAAGGAGACCAGATCTTCATCCTGCCACATCCTGGTTCCTGGTGGGAGGATGCTAGGTACAATATGGCTTGAAACCCGTTTTGCTGTTTCTTGCCCTTCCTCTCATGTCAGCTCAGCCCTGCCTAAGGAAGGCAGCAGGCTATATCTCCCTACAGAAAGAGAAGAGCCCACAAATTTTCTTCAGGTCCTGCAACAGCCACACAAGCCTTTCACGTTCGGGGGTTGGCTCTGTCTCCTCAGCTTGATTGTGAAGATTAACTCTGTTCATCAGAGTGGGGATTTCAAATCCCATGTCCAGTTAAATTTAACTTGCCAAAAGTTTTCTAAGCAACATATATGCCTGTCACTAGAAGGCACACAGGTCCTGGCCTTGAAGAGCTCACAGTCACGCAGGTATAGCTGAGGTGGAACACTGGGCATATTCTTGAAAAGCTTTAGCTAGTTTCTTCCAAGTACTTGCCTCCTTACTCTCTGCCTCTTAGCTTGGGTCTTGACCCCTGGGAAAAGGCTCATGTCTGGAACAAATAAGTGATGAAAAAAGCTTGGGAGAATCACAGGTGGTGTTAGACAGCAGTAAATTCAGCACAAACACTTCTACTGCCAAGTCCTCTGTTTGTGTGTCATGTGAGGACAGCTAGTCCTTGGACTCTGAAGACAGAAAAGTCCCCACAGCAATCAAAAGCTTAACAGTTGGGGGCTGGTAGGTGGTGTAGTGGTTAAGTTCATGCGCTCTGCTTGGGCAGCCCAGGGTTTGAGGGTTCAGATCTGGGTGCGGACCTACACACTGCTCATCAAGCCATACTGTGGCGGCTTGCCAGGTACAAAATAGAGAAGATTGGCACAGATGTTAGCTCAGGGACAATCCTCCTCAAGCAAAAAGAGGAAGATTGGCAACAGGTGTTAGCTCAAGGCCAATCTTCCTCACCAAAAAAAAACGCTTAACAGTTTTGTTTCAACAAAGGCCACTAATCCTCTGAGACTCTCCGAAATACTAAAACAGGAAAAGGAGGGACGCCACACACTACAATTCCCAGATCGCTCAGAGGGGAAAATGAAGTGAGCGGACCAGCTATGCTGTGATGTGTATTTGGGGTAAGGCTAGATAAAGCCACTCCTACTCACTCCCAGGACACTCCTACCCACCCCCCGAAGGTTCTCGAAGCCAGTCGGTAGTTGTAGTTCTGCTAAACCTAGAGAGCTTAAAATTGTAAGTGAGGAGGCCGAGGAGCCTGACGGGATTTGTAGTCTGCGCGGGAGGCAGATGCGCACGCGCAGCCGAGGCCGGGGCGGGGCCGCGGCACTGCGGTGAAAGCCGAGGCAGCGGGCAGGCGAGCAGGGGGCGGGCGGACATCTTGGGATCCAGAGAGTGGCCGGGCGGGCCGAGCAGAGGGCCGCGGACGCCAGGTGAGCTGGGGATCTGGCCTTACGGGGTGAAGGAGGATGCCTGCCCCGCTGCTCTGCATTGCGCTGCGCGGAAAGCTGCCCACACCCGGGAGTGGGCTCAGCCTTCAGATCCGGAGGGAGCTGACGGCGGGGCGGGAGCGCCCAGGGCGCGGTTGCAGCACGGGCGGGGAGCGGCGCCCTCCACCTGACCCGCCCTGCGCCTCCCGAGAGAGGGAGACCTACTGGAATCTTCCCAGAGCAGGGACGTCGCGCGGCGCTCCCCTCCCTGGGATCGTGACAGCCCCCTACCCCTCTGCGCCGCCTCCTCTCAGCGCAAGGACAATTCCCCCACTTCAGGACAGTGACACCCCCTTGTGCCGCCTCTTTGGACTCTGACAAGCCTCCACCCTGCGGCACCCCCTCCTCCCAGTAGAGTGACACCCCGTGGCTCTTCTTTCTCAGGCCTGCGACAGCCCCCGCACCCCGTGGAACCATCTTTTTCGGCGATATTTCCTCCCCAGGGTGAAAAGGCCGCCCACTTATGCCTCTACACCTGAACCCCAAAACAGGTTCCGTCTCCCCAGCTTTCCACCACTGTCAATCTCTCCCTGCCGTGTTTCCTCTTCAAGGCCTTGACCTTTGCCATACTGGAAGCTTTCTCCAGGTGCCCCCGCCAGCCTGTCGCTGCTTTGGGCTCACCTGAGCATAGGGCTTGGCTATTGCTGCCAGTGTTTTCCCTTAACTGAATATTCCATTCCAGTCCTGGGGCCCATCTCTGCTTCTCTGGTGCCCTGAGCTCCCCACCACTTGATACCTGTGAACTTGGTTCTTTCCCCCCGGCTCAACCTCCATTTTGCATTTCCTCTCCCAGCCTCTTTGCGACTGAGGGATGGGATGTGTCCACCACCTTGGGAGACCCCTCACTGCGCCTGGGAGACCTTGACGGCCACAGTAATAGACTTTATTTTCCAGTTTAGAAAAGTCTGCCAAACTCCCCGCCTGCGAACTTAATACCAGAGCTAATCCAAGAAATCTAGAACTAAATTAAAATTAACCCTTTTTCTCCTTGTAAACAATCTAAATGAGTTTGACCCAGATAATTTGGATAATTGAGGCATTCTGCCCCTTGCTTATAGGCACTCAGGCCAGAAGTGAGTTATGTTGTGGGTCTGGAATCACAGAATTTCAGCTGGAAGGATCTCTTAATTTTAAGGACTTGCATTTCCCCCCACCCCCGACCCTCCTTATTTTTATTGTACTTGGGAGCTGAAAGGGAACCTCCCTTTTTGAAAGGGGAGTAGTCAAAAATAACTAATAAGTAGCTTGGGTCATTGAAGTGTAGTGGGCCAGGGCTGAGGCCTTTCTCCTCTGCTCTTTTGCCTGCTTATCTGATTGTCTGGGAGAGGTTGGAGCCACAGTCCTGGGTCCATGTCAGGGCCTAAGGCTTCCCTTCTCTCCTCCTCTCCCCACGCTCCACACCCTTTCCTGGAATGTTTAGGCTTCTGTGAATTAGGCTGGAGGTTCAGGCCCTGCCGCCTTTTCAGAAGGGTAGTGGAGCCTGAGAGACTGGGTGTTCCTAAAGCTGTGCCTGGGGGCCCCAGGCCTGAACCAGTTGGAGTAATTTCTACCGCCATTCCTGCAGCCGCAGGCAGGCCTTCGCAGTGACTCACTGGCTAGAGCCTGGGTGAGAGTCTGCACAGGAAAAGGAGAAAAGGATCCCTACTGAGCTCAGCTCTGCTCTGTGGAGAGGGGGAGGGGGCTACTCTCTGGGCTCAGCCCAGAAAAGGGAGGGTCAAAATGGCCTTAGAATCCTGGGCTGCAGTCCCTCTCCCTTTCTTTCTCCCTTCCAGGATGGGATAAACAGGAACTGGAGCCTGGCTAAGGGGAGGGGCCTGCCTGGGAGGGCTGCAGGGTCACTTGCTGAAAGGTTGAGTCAGGAAAAAAGCCCAGCCACTGACCTGCACAGCCCCACAGGGGACGTTGGCAAGGCTTCTGAGGCCTTCCTTTACCCTGCCCCCGCCTGTCTTAGGTCTGTTCTCAGAGCGATGGGCTGCGGAGACTGAGCTGCCGCCATGATTGGAGGCTTATTCATCTATAATCACAAGGGGGAGGTGCTCATCTCCCGGGTCTACCGAGATGACATCGGGTGAGTCCCCTGGCTGAGCCAGCTGTGCCCCCACCCTCCTCAGCCCTCCTCCCCAGCATGTAGGACCAGGTCCCTACCAGAGGCTTGACTTGGACCACCGCTACCCCTCGCTGCATCCTGGAAGCTCAGCTAGTACAGTCTGGTTCCCATTAGGTCCGGTAGTGTTGGCTTGGCAGCCAGTTGCTGGCCGCTAGGTGGGACCTGTGGAAATGGCATGGCCCTCATAGTCTTAGGGACTCCTGTCCTTCCTGTCTTCTGTTTCCCTTAGTGATAGACCTGCTTGCTGGAGATGAATGCTTTTGCTTGGGCAGGTGGATACCTCCTTTGAGGAGGAGGGAGATCAGTCTCCAGTGGGTGGAGTTAGTGGCCAGGCTGGAGGTACTAATCCATCTAAGTCTTCTCATGGTGAGAGCCTTCACTGTATTCTCTTGAAAGCCTCTCCAGGCTGCCGAATCCTCT